AACATTGAGAAACGTATAGATCAGTGCGTTATGGTGTCAGCCAAATTTATTTTATGTAATTGTGACGCTGTATGATTGTTGATACAATACTGTTAAATTCATCTCTTTTTAAGATAAATCCATTTCATTTGCAAATTGTTATATTCTCATGACTGAATTAAAGAATAGTATGTAGTCTGTACAAACGAACGCAAAATTGTTCGTGTATTCTAAGTTTTTGTTTTTACAGAGACAAAATGGATTGACAAGGTACACATTTCACACACATGAAGGCTAGGAGCACGACTGTTGTGATAAAAGGTGCCTATTCACATTTATATCTATTTATAACAGGGACTAACATTTTGAACAATATAGGAGTATGGAATTCTAGACTATGAAAATGAACTTAAAGGTCTACGACTATTATAACAACCAGCACGCAAAACACCTGGCAAAACACATGCATTCTACATTACATGCGTTGCATTAAAGCCTCCTGAAGTCACCTCATGTCGACCTCGAATATACATGATAGTTAGAAATTGAACAAAATTGGTTATCGTAGGAGTGTTCGCAACATTTAGATGCTTATGCATATTAAACAAATTAAAAGGGGGAGGGGGTAGGGGCCGTAGGGGGTAGGGGCCGTAGGGGGATAGGGGAAAAGGCCCTATATAACCTTTTGTTTGTGTAAAAACATAATATGTCATGAACAATACCACAATTATACATTCACGTTTAAAAAACATGGTCAATTACGGTAATATTGTGCAAACATTCCATAACGATGAAAAAAACAATACAGGTTATTAGTATTCGATTCAGTATTAAATAGATTTGTAATTACCTCAGATATGCATTTCCTTTAATATCATAATTTTATAATATTTTGGTCTCAATTTGCATATCACATATTAACGATCATCATGGGTGAATCCACAAGGATGACAGGAAATGCAACCGCGAATATTCCCCCTCTCCGCCCATTTAACGTTAATATTCTTGACTGTTTTTTTTTTCTTCCCTTTTACAATTTGTCCCATTAAAACAAATTTATTTCGTCATTAGACACACACTTATTTTCTCCTCTTTATCGAAAAATATTTTGGGAATAGATCTCCCTTTACAGGAGGAGATGGGGGGGGGGTCCTATCACTGGATATCGTCCCCTCCCTAAAATGTTGACAAAATGTAAGGAGAGAGTATGCTATGTTTCAAAAATGCTAAACAACATAAACATCTTATAAGACCTATTTAAAGGGAAAACAATACAGAGGGGTCGTCCCCCGAAATTTAGAAAAAAATATTCTTTTTAACATATTTTTTGGTTCATTTCGTCATGTTTTTTCAGCAAAAGGTGAGTCAAGACTGCCCCCACCCCACATTTTGTCATGATAGACTAGACTGTGTAATGGAAAAACACTAAAAACCTTTAAAACCACAATGCACCCCCCCCCCCTCCAGCTGAGAACAAAAACAAAAATCGCCGCCATCAAGTAAAATTAACATTAACAAATAACACCAGAAAAAACGAATGTAGGCCTACTCCTGCTATACCCCCCCCCCCCTCAGGCTCAGAATTCAAACAAAGTCTTTTTTAAATTCAATAAATAGGTCTACATGCAAATAAAAAACTATTTAAAATCAATCAGCATCCTACGTGTTTTAAAGGATCAGCGTAATGTACATGCTGCTATACGGAGACCAGTCTCCCTGGTTAAACCTTGGATCCTGCGTCACTGAATACGGCGAGACGGCACTGGCCTAGGTCGTACCTATGAAGGTCGAGCGCGAGGATCCATAGTACTACCTAGGATATTATGTGGATCGGCTGTCTTCGTACTAAAAATTCAAATCTGAAACCGACTCCGTCAAAAAAAGCCTCAAATTCTTGAAAAATTTACCCCTAAAAATCTAAAACTGCCATAACCTTCTCATATAAATTTCGTTTGGTATTTCAATCGCATAATATCTTTATGTCATAATTACACACAGCCACGCCAAATTTCACGCTCCAATGGGTTTTTAAAACATAAGTAGCGCCCTCTAAAATTTTGGGAATCGGCTTTTTTTCTGTGGCTGTATCTCTATTGTGTGTTGGAGAACCCGTACCCTTTTTTGGATTTAGAGTTTTAAAGATATGCCCTATCCAGCAAATGAAAATTATATACCCTAACGCTGACCGACTTTGTGAAAAATGCCCTCCAAATATGCAGTTGTCAAGAAAATTGCGAAATAACTTCAACTTGCTCTAAAATTACTATACCTAAGTCAATTACACTTGGCAAACACATGCATCCATGTACGTGGCAACTGTCTGCAAAGTTTAGTAAATTTGAATGACGTCAGCGCAAAGTTATCGCCACAAATGATGAATTTACTATGCATTACGTAATAGTGCGTTTAATGCGTGCAGTACATTGCGCGCAGATGACAATGGTATCAAACTGACTACAATGAAGTGCCCTTACGAATGAAACCAAACACATTATATGTTATCACAGATATATTTGAGTAAATTGCGTTTGAACAAAGGTTACATGAATTATGCAAGGTTTCCGCCAAGTTATAACACGTATCGGCTATGACGTCATTTTTTCAGACTGCTTTTCACCCCCTACCGTCCTTTTTATTCCTTGAAATTTTGCAAGCGTATTCTGGGTTGCCAAACGCAGGGCCCGTTAAAGCCGGATTTTTGAAATTCGTCAAGGGGGCTATTTTAGACGCCATTTTATACTCTGCATGATTGTGTTAGTATGGACGGCCATTAGTGCCACAGTACGCGTCATCACCTGCTCATCATGCACCTAAATCCTTTTGGTCTTGCACGCAGTGCTTGCGAACCCTTTCTAGGTTCTTTCCCCTATCCCAATTTCTTTCAAACTTTGTAGGCGTAGTCGCTAGCATCCCATCAAGGTCACTGGATTCTTCGTTCTCTGGAATCACTCATGCACACCCGTCCAAGCGCCATTTGTCCGTTTCGGGCCGTTGTGAGGCCTTTCTTTCGCCAGTATCACAGACGCTACAGACTTCGTACAATTAGCTCTGGATAGTCTGAGAGATGCTCTTTCGTTTGACATGTAGAAACATAGCGTCATTACACGCATATCGTTCTGACACGATTGCATTTCTAGTTTTACTCTTCTTGACATTATTCGTTATGGATCCCCCTCCTGGCCCTGATCCAGCGGAACAGATAACTCGAGCATTAAAGGTATTACAAAGTTTTAGTATAGTGTCATGAACAAGGTTCAAATGAACATATTGGAAGCATATGCGATCCTACAATATTCAGTGATCGTTGTCGCGGTTGAAATTGAGTCTAAAGTTATGAAATTGTAAATAATAAACTCTTTATGTTGTATAGCTCCCTCTCAAGGTCAAGATATTAATTAAGCTATAAAACAATGTTTTTTGACTAAAATCGACCGATAAGCTATTCCCATTTAGAAAATTATACATCACAACAACATATTCTGATATTTTCATGGTCGCAGCTACCATTGTACGGCCGTAGGCGCTATTTGAAATTTATCAAAATTTACCGGGAGCACCGGTAAATTTGTATATTTGATTTTTCTCGAAAGTAGAAGTGTTTTAGGGCCTTAATTCTTTAGTGCTAGTAATACATCAACATGGGCATCCAAATATATCAATATTGTAAAGAATCACTATCCATCAAATTTTCTAAATTTCCCAAAACCTTTGTATTACCTTTCAGCTACCCCCGAACTGGCCGATCGACCCGCTCATATGGGTCGCTCAGGTCGAGGTACAATTTTCCACGCGAAACACAACAAGTGAGCGAACCCGATACAATTGTGTGGTGTCGTCTATTCAATCAGAGTATACGGTGGTGCGTAATCTCCATGTGAATACCCCTCCATCCAACCCATAGCAAGTGCTTATGAGGCGTACTTTAATGTCGGAAAAGTTGATATGTTCACCGTCCAGTTTAAGTATCTCTTCTGCTATCTCCTCGCCACAATCCAAACCAGATCTAGACCACGTCTATACATTGACAGATTAAGTACAGCACTTGACTTTACAAGTACATTCGCTCACCAAGGAGTTTCACCACGAACGCTGTCGCTCGCCGAAGTTCACGGACAGGGGCCGTTGTCGAAGTCGAAGTTGACGTTGAGGTGGCAATACAAACCCAAACAAACGCCGTTGCGGAGTGCTGGTATCATTCACGGTATGGATAAACTGCTGAGAAATGCTCGTCATCTTGCTATTGGCAGATGGAGCAGAATGAAGTTTCCTTTTCCCAGTGAAACGAGAAAGCCAGCCGGGACTGAAAGTGATGACTCGTGCTGGTCACTTATTCTATGTTCACGACCGAATAAGTGGTATGGATTTCTTGGTCGACACTGTAGCGGAGGTCAGCGTGATAACACTAACAGCCAAAGATAGACGGTAACATCGTACATCGAACAATCTCCTCCAGGCTGTGAACTGTTCACCTTTTACATGTTTTAGAGAACGTTCACTTTCCTTAGATCTCGGATTGCGAAGAGTATTTCGTCGTGTTTTCGTCATAGCAGACATTCAGACAACCATCCTCGGGGCATATTTTTTTGAATTTGATCTCCTTATCGATGTCAAGCACAACAAATACTAAATCAACTACTAGTATTTCCATCGCAGGTATTTATGTTTCTCCTAATATCTGCACAGTCAGTCCGATGTTTGCAACCCTGTCTGTCAGTGAGAGATACGCCCTCACCTTGAAAGATAATTCCGAAGTCACTCGCTCAGACTACCGTCCCGAGGCAGTAAAGCATTCAGTTAGTCATAATATTGAGACTACAGGATCACCTTTTTGTCTCCCTCGTCGTCTAGCTACGGATCGAAAAGCTGTAGTCCGCTCCGAATTCCAGCATATATACGATTGAGGAATTATCCGCCCTTCCAGTAGTAAGTCGGCTTCACCTCTGCACATGGTGCCTAAATCAACATTCAAGATTTTGTGGCATCTCTGCATGGTAAGAATATTTTTCCGAAGATAAACCTCGTTAAGGCTCCTCGTGAAGGAGGTCCGCGAATTCGGTCGTCCTTCTTCTCATCGCCAGCTCCGTGGATTCCTGGCACTCGTCAACTTCTATAGGCGTTTCATCCCTCGTTGCTCGGATATGCTCCAGCCTTTGACATCCTGAGAAATCAAACACGCAAGAACAAACAAATTTCACGTTATGATACTGCTCTTGCTGCATTCAAAAAGGTGAAACAGGTATTGATTGATTCTACCCTTTTTTCGTTCATCAGCAACTTGATGCACCATTGTCCTTAGTGGTCGACGCCTCTGACTTCGGCGTTGGTGGAGTAGTACAGCAGCATGTTGATAACCAATGACAACCTATGGCGTTCTTCTCCAAATGTTTTCAACCGGTTGAGACGAAGTATACTACGTTTCCCGGAGAGCTCTTAGCCGCTTATCCGCTTAGAGGTGTCGTGGTCGTGTGGATGTGTTACCGGACTGTGGATCACAAGGTCCGCGGTTCAAGTCCCGTCGCGGCAATAATGTCCTTTGGCAAGACATTTTCCACTCTCCACCCAGGTGTGAAATGGGTACCCGGTAGGATACGAACGTCAATGTGGTTAGATGTACAATGACGCCTGGTTGGAGTGTTCCCCAGGGAGTAGAGAATGTGCATACATTGTCTGTGGGTTAGCCTGAATCCGATGACTGGGGTGATAATATATCTGTAAAGCGCTTTGAGAGAGCCTGCGGTCCTGAAATGCGCTATAAAAGAACGAACTATTATTGTCATTATTATTATCTAGGCATCAAGCATTTCCGCCATCTATTGGAAGGTCGTCATTTCACAATCTATACTGATCAGAAGCCTCTTACGTATGCGTCGAACTCCAAGCCAGATAGGCATTCACCACGGGAAATATGTCAGTTGGACTATGTCTCCCGGTTCACTTTTGACATGCGTCATATAGGAGGGGGGGGGGGGGGACAACACAGCTGCCGACGCCCTCTTTCGTTGTCACATCGGTACTGTACATTAAGATACGCCTTTCATTGATTTCAATGTTATATCTGATGCTCAGGGAGCTGATGAAGAGCTCGATTGTCTCCGCTTACCTCCATCGCTGTCGTTTAAAGATAAAGGGGAGCTCTGGTAATGCGGTTACATCGTGAAAGAAAAGGTGTGGAATGAACCAGCAACAGTTGATCATGTAGCATGTAAGAATTGGTGTGCACTGCAAGGTTCTGGAGTCATCAAAATCATAATAAATTTGACCGAGTCTTGGTAAAGTAACAAGCACTGTACACAGAAAGCTATAAATGGGAAAACACACATGGTGTCGGGGCTAGTACTATCTTGATTTCCTTGTCTTTCTATGCTCATTACTCATCCAGTATACATTTTCTTCCAAAATTGTTTGGCACATGTCATTTATTTGTAATCTTGAACATTCAGTGTAAGTTTCGTTTGATTCTGTGAGAATTATTAATATTCTTTTTTTTTTACCAGAACTGCAGTTTATTTTTAAGCGTGTTCCTCTTCCTACCTATGATGGACAATTTGGTGTGACATTTCGACTGAACATGAACGCCTTTTAATACGTCCCTAAACAGCATCGCACCGCTGTTTTCGACAGTTTGCATAATAAGTCTTACCCTGGCATCAGGGCTATACGTCGTTCGCTTACTGATAGTTTTATGTGGCCTGTTATCAACTTTGATGTACGGAAATGTGATTTGATTCGTTTTGATTTTTTTTTCCTGTTTGATTTCTTTTTCTTTTGCATTTTTACGAATGTATAACACACAAACCATTGCAAATTTTTACAATTTTTCAAAAAATACAATGTCGAATAAACTTAGGCTACCTGTAACTAATCGAACAAAATCAAACAGGAGGGTTGACAACATAAGCAAAACTTGATAGCATGACTTACCTCCATGGATACATAATAATACGAATATGGAGGGAAAAAATATTGGTAAAAGGGGGAAGAGAGAGAAGAAAAAAAAAACAAGAAAGAGGGGGTGTACATCAAGATTCACAGATGTATGTGGTACATTGTAGTTGGATTTCAGTTTGATATATGAATATAGAAAAGAAGATTCACATTTGAATATTGGGTTATAGTATAGAATGAGAAGACTCAACGAGTTTTCTGGACAATATGAATACGGTAAGAATGTGAGATCGTAGGCCACTCTTTAATCATACGTTGATTCATACCAGGTCATGGAAGGTTATAATCAACGTGTCATTGAATGGAAGCAAAAAGGTAAGAGTACTGAAAATTATCGAGTTTTGTAACGACGGGTATACGAGGGGAATTTATGCTACGTTTACACTATGTTCCCGGCGGCCACGGCAACCACGTTTCAGGCCACCGTGGACGAAACGGGATTGACCTGACACAACGTGGGGGACCGTATGGGCAAACGTGACAGACCGTGATTGCCGTGGATACCGTGTCAGATTTTTAAACTGTCAACAAATTTGCCACGGCAGTCACGGTGCGGATGAGAAACATAGTAGGCCGTAGTAAACCGGGGTGAACGTAACAAAACGTGACAGTCCGTAATAGGTCGTAACACAACTTGGAAGTGGTCCGTAGTGGGACGAGAGGCTCGCATTTTCCCCGGCATCTTACGGTCTTTTCAAGTTTTGTCACGTTCTGCCACGTTTAGTGCAGGTTTTGTCAAGGTTGCTTCACGGTTGCAGGGCATTTTGTCCCGTTTTGCCACGTTTAGCCACGGTTTGCCACGGGTCTCACGGCAGGCAAGGGTGTATGGTAGCCGTTTTTGTCACGTTTAATCACGGCGCATCCCGGCGTCTGACGGTTTACGGGCGCGGCGCGTTGCGTTCTGACACGGCGCACTTGGTCGGGAGGTAGTATATAAAAGACGGGCGCAGCAGGAGCTTCATTCAAGTATGAATAATCGACGACATAATACTGCATCTACAATACGAAGAAAGAAGGTCAAGCAATGCCACCGAAGAAGCCAAGAGGTTCGAAGGCCCTTCGTTCTGCACCACCACCATTATTAATAGTGCTTGGGAGGCTTTCTTTTTATACCGTGGGCAAAATCGTTCTTCAAAGCTGCCTGGCGTCTACGTTTCATCCCTAGAAAGCCTTGACAAAACGTGAAAAACGTGTCAGAACTTGATCAAAACGTGGGAAACGTAAAGGACCCCACCAGAACGCGACAGGCCGGGAGAGAACGTTCTGGCATCCGTGGTAGAACGCGGGCCGAACCGTAGTGCGCCTTGGACCCTCCGGGACTCAGCATCCACCCCCCCCCCCCCCCCACGGCCCGTCGGGGATACCGTGGTAGACCGTGAGAAAACTTGGCAAGACGTAACAAAACTTGAATTCAGAGATAAAATTAGTCTAAATCCCACAGCGCACTACGTTTCTGGCAAACGTGACTGCCGTAGCCGCCGGGAACATAATGTAAAGGCCCGGTCACACAGAGGGGACGCATGGGGGACGCACGACCAGCGCATTGGAAATTTGCAATTTGGGCCAGTGCGTTGTCAAAAGTGTGCGCGGAGCTCGACGCATGAACGTACACGCCAAAGGCACGCCAGACAAGCGAGGAGCGCGCTAGACCAGCGCCAGACATACGCAGAGCACACGCCATGTATACGCACAGCGCGCTAGCTACACCCTATGCATTTTGTGTCAGCTCGCTAGCTTTTCCAAAATCATGACAACAGTTAGGCACACGGCCTTTTCCGATTTCCAATGCGCGGGCCGTGCGTCGTCTATGTGTGACCACCTATGTTGAGAACGCGGTGCATGCGTGGATTATTCGTCCAGCGCGCTAGCAACACGCTGTGCATTCGTGGAAGTTGTTATCATGTGCGCTCTGTGTACGGTCTATATGCGCACTGTATGCGCCCTGTATGCGCTCAGCGTGCTAGCAACACGCTATGCATTTGGTGTCAGCTCGCTGTAGCTTCGATAAAAGTTAGGCGCGTTCCCCATGCGTTCCCTCTGTGTGACCGGGCCTTAAACGTAGCATATGACGATTGGAGATGAGCACATTTTGATGGTGGATTTAAAATGAATGCGCAATAAGAAACTTTTTCACCGCTCTTTTAGAAGATAGCATTGTATTAATCTGTTTTATAAAATGGCTCTAGTATTTTAAGCATCGTGATTGGTCAATACGCGTCACATGACATTGACAAATTGTTGATGCAAGCACGATTTTGCAATGAGTGCAGAAAAAGCGCAACAAAAAGTTATAATGCACGTGACCATGGAGATCCAGTACGCGCGCGTACGTGTAGTACGCGCTCCCTCGAGTGCATTGCAATTATTGTAGGCTACGCGTAGCTAATATTGTACGCTCCACCATAATCTCCAGCGCAACGTACACGTAGCTTAGCTCTAGCTAGCTAGTTAGAGCGGGGTATCATTAAAAAGCAAATTTTTATTTTACTTTTGCCTTGGATTTAGGCCTGTTTGACTTGGATTTTATAATGAAGCCAGGAATTTCAGCTGTCTGATGTAGACTCGTCTCTAGACCCACTGTGTGGATTTTATTTTTAATCAAGGCAATGAATCCCATTGACTTTTTGGTAAGCCTGCAAGGTCTTAGATCTATAGAACCAACATAACTCTAGATCTAGATCGAACTCTCGTAGACTCTAACTTAAGATCTAAAGTTTCGTTTGTTGCTATTTGTGTCGCTATTTTATAAAACAAATAACGCACTTGACCCTGTTGTGCGAAACGTAAATGCAGTGTACGCTCGGTTTATTCAGATGGTGCGCACTGTAAACTCGCCGCAAGCGGCTTGTTCACAGAGCGGCACCAATCTAAGGAAACCTCGCGTGTACTGCATTCACCGCTATTGCCATCTGGGACGTGCGTTATTTGTATATTATTTCAGGGGGTAGTGCATTCCAGGTATCAGGGCCAGAATGTCTATAAGACTTTTGAGCTAAGGCTGTTTTGGCGTTAAATAGGTGATAGTCATTGGAATGCCTGGTTGGATAGGAATGAAAATTAGCATTATGTTGGGATAATATTACTAGTGGTGGTGGTGGGGGGGGGGGGGATGCCGGTTTAAGTAGAAACAGACAGAGATGTTTTCATGTTTTCCTGCATCGGTACAAACTCATTTTTTTCTGTAACATTAATATACGATTAGTATAGCACTTA